TCAAGAACCATAATAGCTAGGGACTTCTAATTTTGTTTGGTCATAGCTCTTACCGAATGCTGATCACCCACCAAGTTTAGGCCTCTTTTACTAGGTAGTTCGTGAGATATAAACAATTTATCTCTTTTTCGTAAAATATCAATAGCTCCTGACGTAAGAGGGATGAAAATTTTTTCTTTTTACTAAAATGTAGCCACGACCCTACTCTATTTACAATATAATCTTTTATGAGTTGGCTGTGAGTGGTCAGTGAAATACAGGTATTTTACGATCGAGGTCTCTGGAAATGAGATTTTGAGATATGAGGTCCTTTTCAAGAAAAACTCATAACTCATTTCAGGAACATCACGTCGACTTTCAAACTCACAGCAAATACTCTTCGACGACTGCAGACTATTCAGTCAAAGTATGAAGGTTAACTATTGTATGGTTCTGGAAATTCATTGAGAATGAGCACCCACTATTGAAACAAACGAAGCCTGAAAAAAAAATTTCAACTTTATTTTTCACATAAATCGATAGAATATCACCAAATCTATGGCAAATATAAAAATCAAGTTTTTTGGAGTACTTTAAGTGCCTGAAAATTCACTGACAAAAAAGTGCCGTCACATTTGTTTATTGCCATTTATAAGCGAGGGAAAGACTTTGGAAGAAATCTTTTATAATATTGGATAGCTCGTAAGCTTCTCTAAAATGTTCGCTCTAGACAGTTTCCATTTGCCCAAGTAGTTTCGCAGAAAATTAGCGTTTAATTGAGTGTACTTGTAGTTTAGGGCGTTTTTCTGTCACATCCGTCACGCACCGAATATTCTTTCCCAAAGCCGTAAATATTACCCAAATTTTCTCATTCTTTTTACCAGAGACAGAGAACAATGAACTGCACAAAATGGTGGTAGAATCATCCGTCTACCTCTTATAGTTTCGATAAAAATTGAGAATTACTATGTCAAAAATGTCACGCCGTTACGTTTAGACAAGCCCCCGAGTCAGTTCCTGTTTATTAGACCATTTAGAATATAAGTGGTCGATATTTTTACTACATTAGCTACTAACTCTATATGGATTATTCTGCCCCATCCATACGGACTCATCTTTGCCACAATCCCACAATAACAGGAAAATCAACGTTTTTTCTCAGTTAGTTGTCTAAACTTATGGCTAAGGATGAATGAACTGCACTAATAAAAGTGCACGTGTGCCAGTTTTACTGTCAATGCTTTTTACTAGTAGCACGCTTTTAGTGTACTAATGATACACTTTAAGTGTGCCTGTGGAATACTTTTTGATAACGTGGAAACAAATAACTCAAACAAAAAGCCCTCGTAAAGTGCCTTTTTTTGTTACCCGAACGTGCCAAAAGCACGAAAACCGTATGCCTTTTCTCCCGTATTGCAGATAGAAGATTAGACCTCTAATGGTATACTTTTTCTATGAACACATTTACCGTGCTTTTCCGTAACAGTGCACTTGATCCGTAATTTTTTGGGTTAAGATACGCTCGGACTGAGAGCACACTCCAAAAAAGAATACACTTTAAATATATAAAGAATGCGGATGAAGTGTGTTCTGACCATGCTTCGATGCAAGTTTGGCATACTTGAAGTGTGTTCTTTATATATTTAAAGTGTATTCTTCCCAAGTCAATTTCCGCGGCGTGATCCTGCTGTCGCTCTAGCGATCACTGTAAAATCCCACTTGTCGCGGCAAGATCGCGATAAATTCGCTAACTCATGACGCGGTCGCTACAAAATCTTGATATCGCTTCGCGATCGCGATATATTCTTATTTTTGATAATAGGAGTTTTACATGACAATTTGTCTTGCCAGGGTGACGCAGAAGTCATAAAACTCGCACCACGACTCGGTATCGTGACTCGCGATATGACAATTTTTAACAAAAAGTTATAAAATCATGACGCGGTCGCTCTTACTCTCGCGGCGTGATTCTTAAACAAGATTTGTGATGTGACTCTAATATTTCTTGTTCAAGTAACCATTTGGCACTTCGCGCCGCGATTCATGAATTCGCCATTAAAAAGTAAGAATCTTTTAAAGTCATGCCGTGAGTTGCGATTTTTAATTAAAAATGAAGAGCTGGTAAAACAGAATATTAAAATTAGCTCTTGAAAGTAAATTTACGCAAAGTAAAACACGCATTTTTCACCAAACGCAAAGAGGTATCAAAAAAAACATTTTCTAGCGCTTTATGGCGGTTCCACTTAAGAAACACAAAACATCATTTAAATCCCAATTTGAATCGATATTGGCTTTTTGTGGATGCGCGTTTTTGATCAGCCGTCCATAAAAAATTTTAAGAGTTATGTATGGCAGGATAAAATTTAATTCAAACTTCCCCGCCTACGACAGCACTTAATAGTTAAGATTTTCTGACCGAGTTGGCTTCCTTGCAGGATAATAGTATTTCACTATTTTTCATACTCCTTTCAGCAGTACTTGAGACAAACTAATATTTTTCTGTTAACACTCACTTCCGGGACAAATTTCTGATTTAGTTCCTAAAATAGTGCGCATCTGTTTTATAAAAGTTGCAAAGCATTGTTCTGACAGAACATTCAGCCGCCGAAGACGTCAAACATTTTATAAGAAAATGTAAAAATCTTCTTTACAGGAAAAAGGACTAAAACAAAAAAATCCTCGAAAAGCGAACAAATTGCGCATAATGGACATCTTGCGGAAAAAACAACAGAAAGCAGAATTTGTCCGCAAAATGCGGACTATCTGGCAACTCTGGTAGGCATACAGTCTATATTACATGCACGTTGCACGTGGTTACATTTTTTCTATTTCTTTAACGTATCGGCGCAAGATTGTTGTTATCAAACAGGGGCGTGTTTCTTAAAAAAACTTAAGTAGAAAATCTGACTTAAGTCAAACTTAGGTCAAAAAAAGTCTTTGTCTTTTTTGACTTAAGTAAGATTTTCTACTTAAGTTTTTTTAAGAAACAGGCGTCAGATCATTCCGTATCCTTTTCATATATTGAATGAGCCTTTTACGTGTGTTTTGTACACAGTTTTTATTACTGCTTATTTCAAATTTATCATTTTATTAGAGGTGAGACGGCATGCGAAAGTTTCGCGTCCTTTCGTTTAATACAAAAGCCATACTATTTCTTTCCTTTTTGTCGATGAAGTGTGACGTGTTATATATATAAAGCGAAAGAAAATGAAAAAGACTTATTTTCTTTTGTTATTTTCGCATTCCACATGAATATGAAAACGCAAGACGTAAGAAAACGAAAGAAAATATTTTCCGTTCTTCTGATATCCGTGCCATGGTCACTCGCTTTTCTGATGTCAAGTTTTACAGTGCGCCGCGTGTATGAGATAGGCTACGTTCACATTACAAATTTTTCAGAGTTAACTTCGAGAGCGTTCACACCTAAATCTTTAATACACCAATAAGAGTTTAACATTTTCCCTAAAATTATGCTGCTTCCTGGCTCCAGTATTCTCAAAGATTGCGCCTTGCTAAGACTTAAGTCTCTGGACTTAGGTTTTACCGTATTACAAAAGAACTTAAATCAAAGGGTGACTTAAGTCATGGGAATGTAGTCTTAAAGCTAAGACCGAAAACTTAAGTCATTGACGTATTTTTCGAATAACTCAGGCATTTAACGATACGATTCGACGAAAACAACATTCTGAGGATTAGACAATAAATATTTCGTTATTTTGCGAGTTTTTGCCCAAGTTTGTCAACGACTTTTAAAAAGTAAACAAATCGCTAATTTAAGTCTTTTCGTGATACGGTTTAAGTCCTCGGACTTAAGTCGGTGACTTACGTTTTTTCGTGATACGACCCCCAGATGTTTGTTTCCCCGCAGAACTGGCACTACCGCTCTTGTCTAATGAAACCATGTTATTGGCTACTGAGCTCGTTTATGATTGCAGAGTTAAATGAATGTAAGGCCTTGCCCAGATTACACTCTTTTCTCATTTAAGTATTAACTTAAGTCATGTCGAGCACATGCCTTAAGTTGGAATTAACCTTTTCATTCAATACGGTTACGAGTTTCTCACTTAACTTTTGTAGTCCGGACAAGGCCTTAAATGTCCGAACTATCATTTAACTCAGAGTTAACTTTCTGATCAATCAGCTTCATTTTATCACATTTAACTTTCGTAGTGTGAACGTAGTCATAGATACTTTAAATCAAGAACGATTTTTTTCTCTTTCTGCTACAAATTTTGACTGGTTCTTAACTACTACCTATTATAAGTGAAAGTTTTTAATGAATGCAATTCGTTTCCATGCTTTATTATGCCTGTGTGGAGCTTGAGATGGACACTGTGAATCAAGCATGTCTGCATGTAAAAATGGACTGGTCTTGGAATCTTGAGCATTTTTTGGGGACAGTGTGTTATTGTTGATCATGATTAATTTTCTCTTGTTATTGGTTAACGTTGCTACGAATGAAAATAAACGCTAATGTCTTTCGAACTAGAAAAAAGTTTTCAGTGATAAAACATACTTAACTTATTTAACTTTTTTTCCATCCGACGAAAGTGTAATTAAATGATAGCACTATAAGCATCCGAAAACGAAATTACTTGCTCAATTATTTGATAATATGCCACTTTTTCTCGAAAGGAACCTAAAAAGTGCTGATAAATCTCATAATGAAGCTTTGGTGATGTATATTTATCTCCTCTTGATACAATTTGTTCGTTGCTCGACTTATGATCCTTTTGTCTGTCGGTCAGCTGTGTGGTAAAAGAAAGAAAATAAAAAAAATTATAAATTATATGACTCCTTATAGTCAGTAGTTATTTTTTGCATAGTAATCATTTGGTAAGTTAAACTTTTACTGTTATGAGTAAGATTAAACGAAGTGAAGATATAATACGCTTTCTTTTTCTTTTCCTGATCACTTCAGTGACTGATGAGCAAGGAGAAAGATTGAGAAAAACTGCCTATTTCAAATTTTGTTATATCATCTGTCTTTTTAGATGTACGATATATCATGAAATCAACTGATGGGAACAAGGATAGTACCAACAGACAAGGTAAAGTTTCATTTTTTCAAGTCTCTTGAAGAAACTGGAAATTCTAACTACCTTCAATGATTTTTCTTTTAGATCAATCTAAAACTGTTAACGACAAGTGATAAAACAGCCGAATTTTTATTTTTACCTAGTGATACAGCTGCCGACGTCGCTCGATATGTTTATGAAAATTGGCCTGAGTGTAAGTACCAGGATTTTTAATGATCAGTTGTACCTGTAGAAACAAATTTTACGTACAATTTGATTTTTGAAAATAAAATTTGTTTTACATTCTACAAGAGAAGCAGATGGTAATGTGTACAATTTTGCAATTTATGTTACAGTTTGTTGTTTTAGACAATCTTAACTAATAATTAGGGGGGAAAGTATTGGAAAAAACAAAAATTATGGAGAAGATTAGTTCGACTAAATCTTATTAGAAACGCTGATAGATACCCGAGAAGAAAAAAAAGATATAAGTTTCGATTGGATGTTCATTTTAGAATTCTGACACTTTTAAAAGGAAACTTATGTTTACATCAGCTAACATTGTTTATCATAATGATTTTTGTCTTTTTGTTTTAGCTTGGAGTGATGAAAAACACGTTGAACGCTATGAAGTTTTAAGACTAATTTATCAAGGACGTTTTTTACATGGTAATGTGACATTGGGTGCATTACGCCTGCAAGGAAAAACAACTGTCATGCATTTAGTGCCGAGAGAAAATCTTCCCGATCCTGTTGCACAAGATCAAAAACGAAAACATAAAACAACAAGTGAGAGTGTCACTGATCAAAATGATTCAACGACAACTAATCGTGCAGGAACTCTAGCAGATGGAACGACCACATCGACATGTTGTGATTCCTGCGCTTGTTGCATATGTTGAGCAAAACCATTGATTTTTTTAGAAATATTGTGTCAGATGTATATAGCAAATACTTGTTATTATCGGAAGTTTAATGTTTTTCTCTCTGTTCTTTCTCCTCTTCTACTCTGATAATAGTGGTATATTTCCCTTGCTATGCGTGAACAGTGTGTATTTAATTCTCTCAGATTTGTAAGTTCTTTTTTAGCTCATACAGTCGTCCACCGTCCTTTCTACAATGTATGTCATTCATTAATCGACGTTTTTTTTGCTGAATGTGCACGGTTTTTGTATTTCTTGATCATATCTTTTTGGCCGGTGTTTATTTTCTTTCTATCTGTTGTAATAAGAGTAATACTCGTTTCGTTTTTGAGGACAAGTCGATATTTCATATGATAATTAGGATGAAGTTTATAGGCAGATAAGAGTAAATGATTCATTGCGTTCGTTATTTATCGTCATGTCTTTCTCTCATAGATTTACTCGTCACAGTCCTACATTGATGCGTCATTGCTATGCTCAATACCCCGATTTTATCCTTTATTGAGAGCATTTACGTTTGCCTCTGGCTTGTTGACACCGAAAAGCTCATATATGTGTTTTTCATTATATTCATTTTTTTCGCACAAGAACTTGATCTCATTCATTGAGTAGTCTTCTAAGCATAATTGTATTAATCTCCTATTCTTTCTTTGCACATTGTATTCTGTGTGTTTTGTATATGTTAATGTTTCTTTTGTATGAATTAATAAGATAACTGTTACCATTTGTTGGTTTTTTCGAAAACCTCGATGGAATTTTTTTCTTGTCACCTTTTTCTTGCTTTCTTTAGAAAACTTATCATATTTGTCTCTATTAAAAAATTATGAAACATTCTTATATTCTGGAATGTTTGGCAGTATTAATGACGTGAAAAAATACTTTCAGATATTTAGGATAATAGAAAAGTTATCCATTCTTTCAAATTGGTGTACTGCATTCCGCTTATTATTGTCGAAAAATAATAACCAGATATATACAAATAAAGTCTGTTACTTATTTAAGTGATTTTTCTCACTATGCCGTTCCATGTGGGTAGAGACCTGCAACAATCCGACCCTAGGGTCGGTTCGGGTTGAACATTTTGCGTTCAATTTATTTTTCGATCGTTGAAACGGTAACTCTACTGGATTTTTCAGTCGAAATACTTATTTCAGAACAACTGCATTCACTAACGAAGTAAGGTCTATAGATGTCCAACTCCGTTTTTAATGATATTATGCCCGTTAATAGAGGAAAGTGAGCCGAGAAACACCCTTAAAGAATTAAGAGGTGAAATTTTCTTTCGCACTTTTGCTAATAGTCTGCTAATATCACAGAATATTTGAGCGTTATATCTTTCTAAATTCGGTTGTTATTGAACTTTTCTTCTTGAAGAAAACAATG